ACAATTCAGTGCCTCCCACCTTGTTCTTCATGGTATTAGTAATCCTACAAAGAAAATGCTCATCATCTGCTACATATCTCCTGGTAAGTCTGTCTCCAGATGCTATTTTAAAGGACAAGAGACAATACAAAGCATTTAAAGAAATTTAAAAATCATCATGATATGAAAATATTCTAAAGAGGATAATGCTGCAGACACCTCATCTTTGATGTTTCTGTCACCTAGGTGAACATAAAATTTCCAGTGATGGGGATATTTCTAGTACTTTTGCAACTGACCAATATTTAATTCATTTAAAAACAAAAGTCCATATATCTAGAAGTTGTAGCCAGGAAATAAAGCTATAAAGTATTTATGAAAAATAGAAGTCATAACTAGCAAGATTGTGATGAAGCTGTGAAATTAGCAATGCGGTAGAAAATAAGGCCTTTATCCTCCATGTGCAGAGTAACATAGAATATTTTTGAGATTTTAGGACTCCGTTGAGGAAACTTCCCTGTCCAACCATCCACAAGCCACTCTGGCAGTCACACAGCACCTRATCTGGGACCCCACACTCACACAGACAGACCACGTTTCCTTACCGGCGCGACCCCACGATTCCCATAGCAGACTCTCAGTCCTTAAAATACTCTAATCGTGGTGCAACAACAAAAGAACAACTTCAGCTGGGTGCCTCTGAGGAAGGACCCCGGACACAGGAAACTCTGGGCTTTTATACCCTCACAGTCTGTGTGTGCAAAGTTGGGGGTTCGCCCAGCAGAGTCATCAGTCCCTGCTGTGTCTTTGAGTGTCCAGTCACCTGCTGGAACATTTCCCTGTGCCCTTTGTTGTGCAAAGGCCAGCAGCAGTTCATGGATCCCTTAACAGAAACTCTGCTGAGACCACTCACCTTACTGGGGTGCACTGCTGAAGTCAGGTCTGTGTCAACAGGGTTAAAGTTTCAAAGCTCACTAACACTTTAGGCTGAAGTCTCATGTCATTGATAATACTGATTGGAATATATTATATAATTAATAGCTCAGAAAATAGCTCATGAACAGTGGTGCTTTTAATAGYTGGCGAGTTTCTCCTTTAACCAGTAAATGGCATTAACACAGTCCAGGTCTTCTTGCTTTGAGAAAGTGGGTCTCAGGCCAATCTCACAATTTAATTGAAATTTCAGYACCATTACTAAATAATAGTAAGTAGTGGTTTTTTTCCCTATTAAAAGTATTTTCTAGTCACTGAAGTGCTGTTCCTCTTTTCTTAAAGAGTTTTATAAAGGTCTTGGTATTTGTCATGTAAATATTACAGCTGCTTTTACGAAAATGTGATCACCAGGACTTCCTACAATCAACTTTCTCAGTTGTTGCTCCTTTACTTACATGTTTGGTTTTAACCTTTAAAGCATGGCCCTTGTATTAAGTCAAATGTCATGTTTTGTGTTTCCAGGTGGGAAACTTAAGTTCAATTCCCTTTTTGAGTCCATAATTTTGTAGTTCAGCAGGAGCTGGAAGCATAACTGAAGCAGCATGCCTGGTCCCCAGAGTGCCTGGAATTGCTTTCCAGCAAATCTGGCCAATTAATAAACAACACTGACAGAAGTGAAAGATGGCAGCCCCACAGGTATCCAAGGAAAAAAGGAAACAGGCATCCAAAAGGAAGTAAATATTACTTTTTCTTACAACAGATTTTCAATCCTTCAAGCATCCTATATATAGCACCCTGCTTTGCTTGTAAAAGCGTAAGGCAAACCTGAAATCCCTAACTCACTGCCTTATTCTAGCTTTGGGACGACAGAACAGACATTTTGAAAAAATATTTGATGAATCCTTTGTTCACTAGAATCAATGTGTATTTTTTCCTGGGTTCCAGTCTGTCAGTATTTCTGGGCATTGATAYTGACTTAAATAATTAATGGCTTCGAGATTTATGTGTATTTGGCTAAGTCACAGAGACAGCGGAGTAGTCTCAGAATTCTTATTAATCTTCTAACAGTCATACATTTCTCTTTAATTAAATTTAATTATCTTTATTCACTGACAGCCACAGCCAGTGTGATGAGAACAGGCTTTTCTATTAATATTAACTGATTGCTCCCCTACTGGGCAATTTTAATAGCTAGCAGTACAGCAGTGGTCACAGAGGGACATTACRGACAGAAGGAGTAGAAGAACTATCATTTCTGGAACATCACTACACAAGTGAGCAGAAAAGAATGATTCCTGTTACTTTGAGAAAATGCTATCAAAAAGATGCATCTTCTTTTGAAGCCATATTCTAGTAGGTTAATATATGGTGGTAGTTTTTCAAARGAAAATGTCTTCTCATCAGTTTTGCCACCAGTTTTCTAAACTCTCCACCAGACCCTCCAAATATCTGTGTTCTTATGTCCACTGTTCTCACTGCTTCTTGTTCCTCAAGTCAATATATCATTTCATAATATTTCGTTCAGGTCTTTCTAATTCTTTCTGATATGGAAAAGGATAATCCTTCCCTACAGCAAAGTTAAAAGCAAGACTGATTTGGTACACACAGCCACAAAAATACTGCGAGGAATGTGCTGGGTAAAAGCCAGGATAGCACCTGCAGGGTTCTCCCTCTGCATCCTGACCAATTCATCACCACCAACCTTCACAGAGCTCTGTAAGGCAAGAAATCTTTTATCAAGAAGAAAATTACCTGCAGGCTTCATAAATTTTACTGCTGGCATACCTCCAGCCAGCAGCAGCAAAGTATGTTATCCTGCCTACCCAACATTCACACAGAGCTCCACAAATTATTAAATTTTATATGTAGTTACTCTCGGCTCTTCCCATATGAAAAGCTGTATAAAAAGCTGCTTTCCTTCTGGAAAAACTGACATTAGTAATGTGCTATCAAACCTTTTTGTACTTTTTATTATGAGGCTAAAGAAACTCTAGGGTTTATAACTTCTGGAGTTTGTGTATTTCTGAGACAGGTTTATATATTTTCTCTAGTGTTTTAATGCTAGTAAGCATCATTATTCTTCCCTCCCTGSTGCACCTTTTCCTTGCAGAAATAAAACACAACTATAGATTTCTTTAAAACTGACCTTAACAGCTTCAAGAGTTGTTGTGTTTGACATTGGGATTGAAGGGGGTGTGAMATTGAAGGGGGTGTGACTAGCAGACATCGAGATTTTAAGACACTTTTTCATTCTGATTTTTGTCTCCACTTTCTGTTTCAAAACTTTATTTCCCTCTTCTGTGTAACAGTCAATTTTATTAGAAGCAGCAGACATCTGCTGGATGAAAGCAGCATATATGCAGTATACAAACTTTATTCTTCACTGACCCTTATTCTAC